AAGCATGTATATAAATCCATTTGATTCTGCGTTATTTTTTTTATTTATTGAAGAAAAAAATCTTAACCCTTTACATTTATCCTAATAATTAGCATTTTAATAACATGGTCGAAAATATGTATGTTCCGTTTTTTATATGAAGAAAAAAACACGTAAGTTCTATTTTATAGATTAGTTCAGATAGATAAAAATATATAGACAAAGTGAAAACTGTATTTGTTATCTCAGATGATCATTTTTCGTTAACATATAAAATAAAAGTATTGTAGTTATTGTAAAATTTACGAAAATATCAATGATTAGATTGATCTTGCTTTCAATTAATTTTATTAAAAAATAAATAATATAGACTTACATCCATTTGGTAGTCGTCGAACTACTGAATTAGTATTCGTATTACATGTTGTCACCGGCTCAGTTGGCATTTCGTTATGTTGAGAAATATTATTGATGCATTGTCTTTTGTAATCTATTACGTTATATTGAATTCTGAATCGGATCATACATTGATCGATCATACATTGTCTATTGACTCACGTGAGTATTTTATGTAAATATATATTCGTTTGTATGCATCTACACACGCATATACAACTTCCGATGTATTATTTTGTCTTCCCATTCCATTGAAGGACTATCAAACTACCGTTGACTGTGACATTTATATGTTAGATTAGACTTAAATCATTCAAAAATCTCTCTTGATTTTTGTATGCGAAAAAAAAAGAATTGTTTTTTTTTTGTATTGAGCAAGACACCCACATATATATAAATGTATAAGTGTGTGAATGAAATCTAAGAACAAACAAAAAATTGAATGCTGCCATTATTGTATTTTGACAAAATTCGCCATATTTTAATTGTATATTTTAGGCATAGAAAAAGATACTTTAAATGTTTCATCAGTTTTTGAAAAAGTTAAAAAATAAATAAACTTATACACAAGTAATTCGATTCTTAGGGAGAGTTGCCAAGTAATAAAATAAAAACATGATCTTATGTTCTTAATATGTATAGTAATCGTACGTGAAAATTTATTGTTTCGTGTTTTGATCGGATCAATATAAAGGGAAAAAGGTTGTCAACGTAGAACATGAAAAGAAAGTAACTAGGTAAGCTGAAATAACCCATTACTTGATCGATTGAAAGAGGAAAAATACATAAATACTTGTAGGCGTCGTCAGTATGTTAGAAGAAAAAATCATATTAAATAAGAAAACAAAAAAATATTGATAAATAAAAATGATAAAAAGAATGTGAAATGCTTCACTGATTTTTGCGACAATCTTGTCAAAAGATACTTTTCATATAAATATAAGACAGCTTTTTCTTTAATGTGATCAATCGTATCCACTCTTGCAATAGGTAAATACGAAGTATTTTATTAATAGATGTATGAATCTGTTTGTGTACATAAAATGAATACGTTTTTGGTGTTTTGTAGATAGATTTTCATTTTATTTTACTTAAAATGAAGACTTTTGCAGTGATATTTGCATTCATATTAACACTTTCTTTGATATTTATTACCGATGCACTTGAAGAAGAAGAAGTACGTACTTAAGGTTTAGTTAATGTGACGATTTTTATAATATCTTTTATTTTTAGAGTCTCAACAATGGGATGAAAAAACGACTTTTAGATTATTTAGTTGAAGCTAAACGAGAAGAATTACTTTACAATCAACAAAAACGTTTAAAAGATCAAATCGAACAACTTCGAGAACGTTTGTTCGATGTTGAGAGAGACGATGACAGTGATAATTTCAAAAGAATAAGTAAAATTTCTTTTTCTTCAATTTTGAATGAAAAATCAAAATTTCATTTTTCTTTTTAGATACTCGCGAAAAACATATTAATGAATATCTCCCATTTAAATAAATCTTTGGCCTTGTGAACTCGTTGTTGAAAAACATAACAAAATCTAAACGTATCGGTTTTCTCTCAAAAACTAAAAAAAAACTACAACTAATCTATTTCTTCTCGTTTATTCCAGCTTAATATCTATTTCTTTATTTTTTTTAAATGAGTTTACTTATCTTTTAATAATATGTCTATATTAACGCTTCTTGTTTTCTTGTAAAATTCTCAATTGGATTCTCATAAATAAAGCATCATTTTATTTGTTCAAAACAAAGCATCATTTTGAATAAAGTTATTAAAAAACTTCAAAATCTCTGATTACCATATGATTATAAATAATAATGTCATGCATTTTTATATTTAATATATTCTTTCAAATTTATACTATTATCATCATTTAATTTTCTTTAGCTATTTGACTTAAACCTCTTCATGGTGGACAATGTCTAAAGAGAATGTTGACATGACTTATTTTCTGTAAAATTTGTATTTTTGTTCATAGAAATACGATACTAGTTGCTCGTACTAAGAAAAAATGACTCATAAAAATCATAAAATTTGAAAAAAATTTTCATAGAAAATCCTTTAGGAGATCCTAGCACTAATACTTTGTTTAAAATGGTTTTACTTAAAAAATGAATAAACTATACATCATTAGATGCAGCCTTTTCTGCACTGATTCTGAATATGTCATCATTTGTTTGAAAAAAGCTGTTAACGTCAGAAGATCATAAAAACTCTGAAAACTTAAATTTGTTTTTTTAGAGAATCTCTAACTTAGCCCAGAAGCATTTAAATATATTCACGTTAACTGAGTAGACTTGCCAGATAGAAATAAAAAACATTCTATGAAAGTTTCATCTAGTTTGGAGCTGTGCTAAAGTGTGTCCACTCACTTCACTGAACATGTCTTTTTATAAAAATATTTGGCTAAGAAGAATATCTGCTTTTTTCAATAGGGAAAGTTTGAGAACAAAGCTTTTATAATGGAACAATAAAACGAGAGCTCTACTTTCAGAATCTGCATGATTTATTCCTTACGATTTTCTACATTCTTTGAAAGAAGATTTTTCTCTAAAATGACAAAAATCTAGCCATTTTGTTTTGAGCTTAAGGTTTTTATAATATCTTAAAGAGCTAGAATTATTTTTTTTCTTTCTAAAAACTTGATCAATAGACAAAGTATCCATTGGACATAATTCAAATCACGAAAATGATCATTTTCGTTTTTTCACGACATATCCACATTCCTATCCATGATGTGTTTGTCAGGGTTAAAGTTCATAAAAATTATCTGCATTAATAAGATCAATGTTTGGAACTCTACTGTACTTATTCACTATAAAATGACATAAAGTAAATTTATTGCCAATTTTCATCAAATCTCAAAAGATTACTACATAGTATTAGACATTTTAAAATAGATTAGACACTTTTGTGGGCTGTATGTGTACTTTGTTATTGATATTTTAAAATGAATAAATAATCCCATAGATTGAAAGGATAGAGTCTAGAAACGTAAATTCACCTATGCCTGTCTCCCTATCTGTTACGTAATTACGATATGGTAATTATGATGTGAATAACCATCTGGTTATTATGACTACAATGGTACAAATGATTGCGTAAAATAACAAGAAAGGGGCATCCCCGCATTTGGACTTAAATTAACCCGAGGATCAGTATTTCAGAACAAAGAATACAAAACTTGTATACACTCTGTATTTCATCACATACAGCTAGTATTTACTATCCCATGTGACTCAGTGTCACGGCCGTATTTCTTCATATCGTATAGGAAAAAATACAATCAAAATACTGAGTCATGTGATTTATCCGTACAAGATGATTAATGGGCATGTGTCACCATGTTGTTTTCGACATGGGACGCTTATGGAAGTGACGATCATTGTTGTTAAATTATTGAATGATTTGATCATGATTAACTAAGATCACATTATTTGAATCATATAATATTAATTCTTTTTCACAATACAAATAGTGTATATATAACTAATTTTAAATAGTTATATTGATTCTTATGTATAATTTATAGCATACATTTTATTCCAAACATCAAAAAGACAAAATAATATAAATGATGAAAAATTGGAAGGTTTTCAATTTCAAGTTTTATTTTCTTTTTAATATTGAGAATTCGAGCATACTGTTTATGATTATAATTATATCATTGATAGAAATTCAGTAATTCGATATATATATATATATGAATATATAACAAAAAGGATTTTTTCATTCATTGTATTTAATCATCATAGGAGATTAAAAATAAAGTTTTGAGAACAGTTTTAAAGGACGAAAACAAATATAGTTACAACAGTATAAAAATATAAAAATTTGGCAAAACTTTCTGTTAAAAAGAAATAATATTGCACATATAAACTGAACTTCATTAGTCAAGTGTAACATATTCAAAATCGATTTTCTTTGTAAGCATAAAAACCTAATTTCACATAACGAAAAAA